AAGCTTGAAATCTTTAGTTGAAACAGCAGAGGTAAGATGGTCAGATGTGAGCGTTCTGCCTGCAGGGATTGGGATGGGGGGGAAGAGCATTAGTCACCATCTGATTGAAGGAACGGACACAATGGACTACGACAATCGTGCCATCATCACGCACGCATACTTTTGCTGCCGCCCCCTTGTTCTGTTAAATGGGCAGAGACTCGTCCCTCAGCACCTCCACAACTCCGGACACTTTAAATAGCAGTCCGACCCCTCGCTTTTCCACAACCTCTCCTTCTCCTCTCCTCTCAGAATGTCTAGGAGCCTGAAGCAAGGTATTTCTGAGCTGATTCGAGGAGACTTTGGATCTTTTATTTTGCGCTGAGGAACTTATATTGTCTGTGTCTGTGTCTCTGTGTTTCTCTCAGTGGCTGTGCTGCTTGTGGCACTTCTGTGTCTGGATCCTCATGGCCGCGTCGGATCTGCACCTATCTGTGCTCACGGGCCATCAGGATGCCACGTCCCGTCTCTGGCAGATCTGTTCGACAGGGTCATCCAGCACTCGGCCCGGATGCACAGCCTCTCCAATGACCTGCACTCAGAGTTTGTGAGTCTACTTTCTATCTCTACTTCTGACTGATCCAGTGCAGCCGGCTCTGTAACTAAATGTTTTAACAGGTCATTTTAAGATATATTTTTAGCAAAAATGATCTTTCTATATTTATATTAAGTTACACTATATTTGAATTAATCATTTGGATGGCATGAATAAAATCTCAAGAGAAAATTAGAAATGAGAGTTAGAATTGTCAATTACCAATAAGTTTTGGAAAGTTTATTATTATTTTTTTATACAAATGATATTTAGAATTAAATACTTTTGAGCTTTTTAAAGGTGCTTAATGAAATGCATGCACAGAGGCAAAATTAATCATTTTTGCTAATATCAAGTGTGATTTACAAAAATAATAGGCTTTTCAGATTTGTAAAGGTGTCTAATAAAGTGCACTAGCAAATATTTGCTAAGAAAAAGTGTGGATTTAAATAAAATACATTTTTAGATATTAGAAATGTCTGATTGTGCACAATAATCAAATGCCTCAAAGAATAGAGAAAAATGTTTTTGCTAACATAGAAAAAATAGGTAACTGAAAACATTTAGATATAAAATGCGAAACATTTATAGTTAATTGAATTGAATTTTTACAATTTATTATATCATTAACTATATTTCATTTGTAAGTTGTACAAATATTATAAATAGACCTTTTAAAAATGTAAGTCCATAAAACATTCATAATAAAATAGCATGCTTATATATATATTAAAATTTTGTATAATTAGTTATATGTCATTTGAAATTGATGATAAACAGTTTACTTGTGTGTGTACACACATATTCACACACATATTCATATATATATATATATTCATATATATATATATATATATATATATATATATATATATATATATATATATATATATATATATATAAATATATACATACCTACATACATACATACATACACACACACACACACACACATATAAATACATACTGTTATATCTATAGGAAGTGCATTACATTATGACAGCATTTAATTAAAATGCATTCTATACAAAATCTGTAATATAAATTATTTTATATTGAAAAATCTTTTTTTTTTAATTAATCAGTTTTATGCTTTTTTCCTCTGTTCCTCCTCTTCTTTTTCTCTTCAGGAACAGTATTTCCTGCCCAGCAAAAACCACATTGGAAAGATCTACCGCAAGTGTCACACCTCCAGCATACTGACTCCAAATGGCAAAGAGAATGCACAGAAACTTGCTGTAAGTATTAAATAATAAAAATTTTATTAATAATAATACTAAACAAACTATAGGTTTAACTCACAGGTGCTTATTGCTTATCATTAATGGCCTGTGCTCGCTAAAGCACTTAACCACGGCTCGTCCCATGAGGACTGTCCCGTCAATGAATGCACTTAAGGAGAGACAATGTCGTTTCTTTTTTTTTTTTTAATGTAAAGAAAATGTCCAAAATACACTTGTCACTTGTTAGAATCGTTCACAAATAAGAGTGAATCTCGAATTATGACTTTCATATTCAAATAATCCATTCAGAGCAAGTCTGTGGTTAGAGACACACTGATTCAAGTGATCCACTCAGAGCAAGTCTGTGGTTAGAGACACACTGATTCAAATGATCTTTTCAAAGTAATACACATATAACAATTAACTGATTCAAATAATCTGTTCACAAGTCTGCAGTTAACAAAAGATTCAAATAATTCAAATGATTCAAATGAGTCTGTAGTCTTTTCAAAGTCAGTCTGCATTTAGCAACTCACTAAATCAAATGATTCCTACAGAGTGAATCTGCAGTTAACAACTCACTGATTAAAATAATCTCTTCAGAACAAATTAACAACAAACTGATTCAAATGAATTATTCAGAGTGAGTCTGTAATTAGTAACTCACTTATTTAATGATCTTTTCAAGGTGAGTCGGCAGTTAACAACTCACTGAATCAAATGATCCCTACAGAGTGAATCTGCAGTTAACAACTCACTAATTCAAATGATCCATTCAGAGGAAGTCTGATTCATTGGATCCGTTCAGATCAAGTCTGTAGTTAAAGAGACTCAATGATTTAAATTATGATTTATTCAGAGCAAGTTTGTAGTTAGCAACGTGCTGATTCAAACGATCCTTTCAAAGTAAATTCGCAGTTAACATCTAACTGATTTAAATAATCTGTTCAGAACAAGTCATCAGTTAACAACAAACTGATTCAAATGATCTATTCAGAGTGACTCTGTAGTTAGCCAATTCATTCGAATGATCTTTTCAAGGTGAGTCTGCAGTTAGTAACTCACTGAATCAAATGATCCGTACAGAGCGACTCTGCAGTTAGTGACTCACTCATTCAAATGATCTGTACAGAATGAGTCTGCAATGAACAACTCACCAATTCAAATGATCATAGACAGTATAGCATGGTATATACTAGACTGTTGAATGCTTTTCAGTGTATGACAAGTTTAGGTGTTAATATTAAAAAGATTCTTACAAAATAAAACATTCAGTAAAAATAATCTGGTTGATCTAATACTTAGGTACATTACAAATAAGGTATTGTTGATCTTATATAACTTTACTTCTCTATACATCCATCCATCCATCTGTTTGTTTGCAGTAGGGTTACAAATAAATTCAAAATACTTTGACACCAATAAATGAATGAACAAGCAAACAAACAAATAAAAAAGAATTTTAAACCTGGCTTCATCCAACGTTCTGACTAGAAATGTATTCAGGTTAGTTTAATTTGATTAAAGTCTCATTTGCATATTCAAACAAATCATTTAAGTAAACCTGCAGCACATCTGTTATAAAAATTCAGGAGCTGTACCAGTATCTCGTATGTGTGAAGTGTGTTCCTCTGCTCATCTCTCAGCGCGAGGAGTTGACGGAGGTGATCCTCAAGCTGCTTCTGGCCTGGAGGGACCCTCTGTTTCAGCTTCACCAGAGTATGGCCCACCAGCAGGACTTCAACAGCTTCAGCAGTAACAAGGCCCTGGAGATGGGAGACATGGCCCACGAGCTTAGGAAAGGCGTGGAGAAAGTGGCCGAAAAGGTGAGTCATGGACAAGGAGATCTGGAACGGAAGTGCTTAAGAAAGTGCTTAGGAAGGTCTCAGGTGACTGAGGCCAATGGGTCTGCGTCTCGTTTTGAAGGCTCTGCCCTCTGGAGGTCGCAATTATACGTCACTAAGAAAGACCTAACCTACATACTGTAACTGTAATGCATTCAAATGCAGAAGAGATACGTAAACAATACTAATACATAGTATTAAAGAAATGTAATTGGATGTAACTTTGTAAAATTAAATAAGACCTTTATTTAATTTTTTTTATTTCTTTGTAAGCATATTTACATGCTGGGGTCTTTTTGGATCTGGGTTTGTTTACAATTAGGTGTGGAAAATATTTGTAAAATTAGTTTAAAGTTACAGGTGTTAAAATTTAATTAAAATGTGCACAAATATATTTAACTTTATTAACTTCGTCATCGCACATCTTTGTAGGACTGAATATGGTTGATAAAAATCGCACTCTAAAATAAGATGGGTTTTTTTTACCTAAATTTTGATTAAATATGGACAAATTTGGTTTATATTTTACCATCACTTACATGTACTGTGAGAATGTTTAATTTAATTGTTCAAATGACAATTCGTTTAATGGATTATGATGAAAAGCAATTTCTTGTCAGGTATAAAATTATAATAAATAATAATTATTATTAATAATAAATTATTCATAATATTTTTTATTCTTGCGGTGAATTCTACATTTGTAATGTTTTTTTTTCCTTAAATTAGTCAGCCTTGATGTATGAAGACAACAAAGTGACCTCTAGAGGGCATTGCCTTTGCAATTAGATAGAGGAAAAAAATAAATAAATGATAAAAACTTATATAAAAGTAATGATTTTGCAGTATATGCTAAATAAAAATATTTAATATTTTACCATACAATTAATTATACTAAAATATTTTATTGAAAAACCACAAAACATTTGTAAGATAAACTGAAAACATTTTTACAACCTGTGTTTCATCAATTTTACTTCATCAAAACATTCATTAAAAACACTTATCTCTTTTTTTTTAACAATACTGATAATACAGAACAATATTTGTGGCAATATATTAAGATAATATTCACATTTTCACAAGTTACCAAATATTTAGAAATGACACTAAATTTCCCTTCTATTGTTTTTGTGTATATATATACACACTGTTAACTAGTTTTCATTTACTTCAAATATTCCTGCCAAAACAAAACAAACGACAGTACAGACTGTCAGAATGTTCTGTACCCTGTCTGCGGCTCCTTGACTCAGTGTTTGTGTCCTCTGTCAGATGCGAGTGCTGGGGATGCTTGGGAACTCAGTGACAGGTCTGTCTGCAGCAGAAGCCATGCTTCCGATTTCTGACAGCGGAGAAGCCATGAGTGACTACGATCTCCTCTACTGCTTTCGCCGCGACTCCAACAAAGTCCAGAACTATCTAAAAATCCTCAAGTGCAGGATTGTACCCGAACATGACTGTTAGGGGCAAACAAAAAAAAAACATGGGCCTTTCACCTGCACTGAAGGACAGCACAATGGACACACGCTGGTCCACAAGTCATCAAATCCCAGTAAATAAACCTGACTTTTGCATTGCTTCATGTTCTAGTAATTGTTGCTGTAATTATTAAAACAGAAGAGGGAGAAATTCTGTTTCGCCTCTAAGAGGAAATTCACATACTTATTCATTCATATTTTTCTAATTACCATGTGCTTTCTATTTATATTTCTGTGAGTTACACTCCTGCTCAAGACATTCTGATGTGTTTGTTTTAAATGTTCTTAGTTGCCAAGCTAATTTTCACTGAATGAACAGACAATACGTTTGAAAAAGGACAATAAAACTGTAGATTCTTCAGCAAATATGCAAAGTTTACTGTATTTATTGCATAATTGTGAAATGTTGCTACTGGAACATTTACGAATACACACAGGACAGTGAAATATTGGTTTATTCCTATTATATGGGTTATTTTAGAAAATCAAGTTCAACTAAATGAAAACTAAGAGTTTTGTCATGGAAACCTGCAGAAAGATTTAGGTTCTTTAAATATGTATTTAAAGTTCAATCCAAAATGAAAATGTAATTTCCAGACCTTTATGAGTTTACTTTTTTCTATTAAACACAAAAGAAGACCTTTTGAAAAATGTTAGAAATCTGTAACCACTGACTTCCATATAGTGGGGAAAAACAAATACTATAGAAGTCAATGGTTACAGGTTTTAACATAATGACAATTTTCATAATAACATCTTTGATTTTCATCAGAAAAAAACTGTCAAATAGCTTGGAGGATAATTATTATCTTTATTACCTTTTAATATTTAAAAATGACATTATTTTAAATTAAACAATATATATTTGCATTTATGTTATAATATTTTTCATGATTTAAAATATAAACATTTCATAGTTTACTTCATATAGACCATTTTATTTAAGTTAATTAACTATTTCATATTATATTCAGTACATATTGATATAATATATGTTTATATATTCTCATGGACTCATGAAAACGACTCAAAATGCGGAATTATGCATGCCAGGCCAGTAGATGTCACTGTCACTTTGTACAAATACCCTATGTGCCACACGCATAGACGTAACACGTAATACAGTACGCATGCAATTGACGTCACTATTTTCACAAAAGTTTGCAGAAAATCATGTTTGCATTCTTCAGGCCTTCAAAGACATTTATCTTGTAAACAAACAAGCAAGGTTTACAAAAAGTTCAAGTTGAAATGTTTGTCAATACTGCATAATCACTTTTTAATTTTTTGGCTGGACGAAATTACATGTGGCTTGGGCGGAATAATAATAATAACTACAATAATAACTATAATTATAATAATGAAATAAAATGTGACTTTTATTTGGTATTCCGCATGGGAGTTGTGTGTGTCTCCATCTTGCCCTCTGCACGTAATGACAAGTTTCTCTTCATACAGCAGGACAGAAAGGCCTTCAGTTAAGATAGAGTTCAGTCTCAGCCTGAGGACAGTGCTTCGGCCTGAACTTTAACATTTTACCAGGAAATGTTTTACAAAATCCGGAGCGATGTCATCTTCGAGGAGGAAACCGTTTTTAAATGAAATATAGAGCACATGAAAGGCCTAGTTAAGCCTAATTTTTTAATTTGCTGTTCATTTAATCACCAAGCAATCCAAGATGTAGGTGACTTTTTTCCAGTAGAGCATTAAAATGATTTTGAGCAAAATCTGTAGTACTTGGTGGTTCATAAAATGAAAGTCAACTGCTACCAGCAATTTGAGAGTCAAGGCAAAACAAAATTAATACCCATGAATGTAAGGGGCATACATATATGCAAAAAATGGGTGTTGTTGAAGTCCCAATCCTTACTTTATGCCTGAATATACAGTAGTAAGAAGTATGGCATTAGGAATATATTATGTAAATAATAAAAAAATAATAATAATAAAATGTAAAAGCATGCACAAAGTGACCTATTACTTCTGACAAGATTCTGAAGACAGCCCATAATAAACCTTTTAGTGTTCAGTGAGGCCAAGGGAGAGGATTTACAGCATTGGCCCCATATGGTAATTCATCTGACAATAAGCATTACAATTACAAATGAGGTCAGCATTTTTAAATACATATTCATAACATACAGGACAAACTTCTTAATGATCACAATGGTTTAGCAGATCATGTCTCAAATTTTAGTATATGCATATGACAAACACGATTCATCGCATCCAATATATTTGTTTGTTTTGACATACATACAGCAGGGAAAATAAATATTGACAACATCACCATTTTTCTTAGAAAACATATTCTAAAGGCTGATTTTTACTTCTGCATCAAACGCACACGTATGCTACGGCACAGCCTACGCATCGATGCAAAGCCCAACGCCGTGGCCGTCGGCGTCGCTGATGTGCACCTCTCAAAAAATGTAACTACACATCGCAACGACGCGTAGAGCAAGCTCTGTGACTGGTCGGCATGGAAGTGCTGACGAGTCTGGGCGGGGCCGAGAGCCACACGAGCGCGCGAGCCAGATGAAGCGATTGTTTACAAGTCTGAAGTCCCGTAAAGAAGCTCCGGATGGAAAGTTTTGTTTGTGTTTGCCTCATAGTTAAAGTTGTTGCACGTCTGCCGGTTCCTGCCTCAAAATAAACGAGTTTGAGCCACATCCCGAAAGCGTTCAGAAAGAACAAAACACAGGCGAAGAAACTCAACACAGAGACACATTAACAACTTACTGCCAACTAGCGTTTTGGAAGTGTTAATGCAGACCAACAGAGACAGCGTGCAGAAGTATAAATGCACGGCTACGCGCGTTGCATGCGCCGTTGGTTACGCCGGTCATTTGAGGCAGAAGAATAAACCAGGCTTAAAGGTGTCATTGACTTGATTTTTTTTTCACGGATGTTGAAAACAACCAAAGAAATCCATATATGGATAATTTAATTAGTTTACAAATTACGTTATGTGTCATAAAATGAAATGACGCAGGGAAAAAGTATTGAACACATGAAGAAAGGGAGCTGTACAAAGGCAGGGAAAGACCAGACATCTTTCAGAAATCTTTCAGTAGTTCTTCAGCAACTGACAATAATCCAAAACGGAAATGCTCAAATGCTTTCAGAGAAAGAAAATCAGACTGTAGAATGGCCCAGCCATTCACCTGACTTGAATCCAATATAGAATACAAAATAAAGCTCAGATTTAACAAACGAAACCCACAGAACCATTAAGATTTTTACACCGTTGAAGTCTGTGAAAACAAATAGACCTTAGCAGGGCATGTGACTTCATTCTCCGTATGAGAGGTGTCTTTAAGCAGCTATCACCAAAAAACCTTTTATATAAAGTATTAAATACGTTTCAGTAGTTCAGCACTTTCTCCTTGTGTCGTTTCATTGTTACTAAACATAACTAATTTTTCATTTTTTTGTTTTATTTTATTTTTGTTTGTATAGTTTGGGTTTTAACCAAAATCTGGTTCAACTCCATGTCAACAGCTCCTTTGGAAATATAATTCCCAGGAAAAAACATGACGTGTTCAATACTTATTTTCTCCGCTGTACATATGAATATATGTATTTTCAAGAATGATTTCAACTGAGATATGAGTTTGCTGACGTATATGTACGTAAGAGTGATGCGGGTATTACTATTCCATTTTTAACCTAAGAATAGAAAAATGTACATCAGCAATTCTGAATATTGCTGTCTGTCTGAAATCCAGAGCTGGAGGGTTTGTGTGTGTGAGGGTTTTGCATTGCTCATATGTTCCTGGATGACAGATCGCTCAGGTCTCGTCTGTCTCTGGAAGTCAGTGACTCAAAGGGCAAACAACAATTTCCGGTTACACTTTATTTTAAGGTGACGTAGCTACACTGTCATTTAACTACTGAGTAACATTAATTAATTACTACACTATATGGTTGGGGTTAGAGTGTAGATTGGATTTAGTGTTATATGCAATTATGCACAATTCATTACATAAGTAAATGCATAGAACATGTGTAGCTTTGTCACGTTAAATTTAAGTGTTTCCCAATTTCCTTTTAAGAGCGAAGCCACATTTTGTCACCAGACTAATGATGCTGGAACAATTTAAGACATTTTGCATTGTGTGCTGTGCATTATAGGACACATATCATTTTGTACTGATGAAATATTTGAAATTTAACATTATTTTGAAAACAATGCCAACTGATACCAAAAGTATCTAGCAACCAAAATATCTAAATTGTTAGGCCTGTAAAACTTATAAATAATGCATTAATCTGATTATGACAGAAACAGTATTCATAATGCTAGAAAAGGTATCAAACAAATGTTGATTTTAAGCAGAAACAAAAATTCCAGATTTTCAAAAATCTAAAAAAATTTATAATATTTTAATATAATAATGTTAATGATAATAACAATAATAATAATATAGTAATAATATTAATAATAAAAATAAAATGAATAATAATGAAAATAACATTAATAGTAATAATAATAATAATAATAATAATAATTATTATTATTATTATTATTATTATTATTATCACACCCTCAGCTCGTTCCTGCTACTCCAATCACCTTTCACCACACCTGTGAATAATCACCAGAATACTGATTACCTGCACCTGCACACGCAATTACCACACACCATAAATCCTCCTTCACTCACTCACCGGTTGGAATCGAAGTTTGATGGTTCACCTCATCTTCTCTCCCTCTTCCTCTCGTCTTATTCCGTGGATATCTCTCTTCGCCTGTGGATGCAAATACAACTGAATAAGGGAAGTGATTAGGCTTATCTGGTGTTTGACTAAAGAGATAATGTTTACCATATGAACTGTGTGTGAGATCGCTCTCCCTATGCTAAATCACTTACCTGCTTCAACACTCTGCATCAGCTTCATGGTTTTAAACAAATACCCTTAAAGAAAACCATCTTTGTCTTCCTTGTGTGACCATGATAATTATTATTATTATTACTATTAATATTATTATTATTACTATTATTATTACTACTACTATTATTATTACTATTACTTTACTGCTACTATTATTATAACTATTATTATTATTATTATTATTATTATTATTATTATTATTATTATTATTACTATTACTATTATTATTACAACTATTATTATCATTATTATTATTATTATTACTATTATTATTACTACTACTACTACTATTATTATTACTATTACTTTACTGCTACTATTATTATAACTATTATTATTATTATTA